ACTGGCGCGCACAGAATCGGCTTCATGGTGTACAGCCGGTTCTTGCGCGTCGCCCGCACCAGGACTGCACGATCCCAATCAAGCACTTGCAGGACGCCATTGTCAATCTCAATTCTGCAACCTCTTCTTCCAACTGTCCAAGACTGATTATATTGCATTTCAACGATGGGATGAAGTATACCTCTGTGAGGACCCTGTGTTCCTCATTCCTGCCTGAGACCATCACTGCACCGAGTCCATGGATCTCCACCTTGGAACCATCTCCGAAGCAGACGGCACCACGCACCGTCTCGTCGAGTGACGTTAGCGCCTCGCGGCACCCCGTCATGTGGTTTGTTGCGCAAGTGTCAAGGATCCAGGCGCCCTCGTCGTACTCCCCTGGGAACACGCGTTCCTGATTCAGGAATACGCTCTGGGTCAGAGAGGTGTGCATGACGCTCCAAACCTCCGTCAGCAGCAGTGCCGGCTGTTCGACGTCGGCCCTCGCCACATGAGCGGCCTCCTGCCGCTCCTTCTCCTTCTTCGGCTTTTTGCACTCCTTGGCCCAGTGGCCATAGATGCCGCAGTTCTTGCACCTCCCCTTGCGTCGTGGCGTTCCCATCGACGTGAGCTTGACACCGGAGTCGCCGCGCGCTGCGGCCTTCCCCTTGTCGCCGGAGTGTGCAACACTCTTGCCGCCGGATGACGACGACTCAGACTGGAGACGATGCCTGTTCCTCGCCACCCAGTCTTCCTCGGTCAGCAGGAGCCGACCGGCCTTGTCAGTTACCTGATCCACCGTGGGCTCGAACCGATCCTCAGCAGCACGGAGTCTGCCCACCAGCTCCTCGACCATGAGTTCCTCCATCTTGCAGAACATCTCGATCGAGACAGCGACTTGATTGAGTCGAGCCGGCACAACACGGAGAAATTTCTTGACGACACGAATATCTTCAACTTCCTCGCCGAAGGTCTTCAGTTTTGCGACAAGGTTGTTGATCCTCATGCCAAAATCTTCCACACTCTCACCTTCCTTGAACGCGATGTTCTCGAACTCTTTGAGGAGCTTCTGAGCATTGACTGCCTTGACACGGTCAGTTCCTTGCCTCATGGTCTTCAACAGATCCCATGCCTCCTTGACGCTCGCCTTCACACCCAGCGCCGCCCACATGTCACTGGACACGGAGCGCATCAGGGCGCCCATGGCTTGCTTGTCTATCGGCCGCGGCACCTTCCTTCCGGGATCGATTGCATCCCATATTTCCAGGGCTTCATAATTGATCTTCATCATCATCGCCCAATCTGCATAATTGGTGCGGGTAAGCATTGGCCACATCAACGTGCTCTCCTTGATGACAGGGTGACCGCCTGATCCTGATGCGTCGTCGTCGCCAGCCATTTTCTCTTCCTCAATGCGCGGTCTCTTGGGTGAGGGCGGCTTCTCGATTGGGATCTGTTTCATCCAACACCGAGATCCCCTAATGCCGGAGCTTCTTCACGCCTGGACGCCGGCGACCAGCTCTGATGCCAGTTGTTGGAGCCGGCGGTGGCCACCGAGCTCTGGATCTTCTCCGGCGAACTCAGGAAACACGAAGAACACACACGCACGCGAACGAGTGGAAGAGAGATCACGCAATTTGCGCTGCATAACAGCTGCAGCTTTTTCTGTTTTTTTGTTCCTCTTTATTTGGAATACATGGTCGCTGAGGACCGAGTCCCACGCCACACCGCCCAGGTGCTCGACGCCCGAAAGATTTACCAAACCCACTCCTGCGAAGCTTTGATGCACTGCGCCGCTAGCTGTTTGGCTTGCATGCCGGCGACGGAAGGATCCATCGCGAACGAGATCGCCAGGTGCTCGAGGGCGGCGGCCGCGGCGGCGGCATCCGTGTGGGCGCGCCGCGCGAGGGCGTTGTCGACGAAGGAGAGGAACCGTCTCCTTTGCACCTCCGCCCGGTGCCATTGTTGACGAAGGAATAGTAGTCGTCTCGGATCATGTTCATGTCGGCCTGGTCAGCCGTTGTCGACTACTAGTAGTCGTCTCGGAATAGTAGTCGTCGATCGCCTAGTTGTTGGCCCGTCGCGTTCACTGTACTTGGACAGAGCAGTGGCGCCACTTGACCATAGAAAATTCCCTAGTTGCGCCATCCTTGCGTGGTGGCGCAGCGTCGAGGGAGTTGCATGTGTCTGCCGCGGCGGCGGGGCCCTGAGACAAGTCGCCATCCGAGTCCCCATCAGATCACCATATATCTCGCTCGGCCTCGGAAGGGACAGCCAATCCCGAGCTCGAGAGCAGAGAGAGGGGAAGGAGATGAGGAGGCCTGGACCCAGCTGTTCGTGCCGCCATGGCTCTGCTGCGCTCCCGACGTTGCTGCTGCTTCTAGCTGCATCTGCGCAAGCTCAGCAAGCGAGGACAAGGACCGATCCGGTTGAAGGTGAGCGTGCATGTCTCCAGTTCTTTGTTTCAGATTAGCGAGGGGGTTTCAAATCAGCTTGCATCAAATCCATCGATCGTCTCCCTGCCAAATCCACTCCGCATAGCATACCAAATCCACTCCTGCGAAGCTTTGATGCACTGCGCCGCTAGCTGTTTGGCTTGCTGGCCGGCGAATGAAGGATCCATCGCGAACGAGATCGCCAGGTGCTCGAGGGCGGCGGCGGCGGCATCCATGTGGGCGCGCCGCGCGAGGGCGTTGTCGACGAAGGAGAGGAACCGTCTGCCTTCGGCGGCGCCAGCGGCTCCTTTGCACCTCCGCCCGGTGCCATTGTTGACGAAGGAGGGGAACCGTTCGGCGCCGCCGAGCTTCCGCCTGGTGGCGGGGGCGAAGTTGAAGCGGAGGGCGGGGACGCACATTAATTAGAAGTATTAAATATAGTCTAATGATAAAACTAATTGCATAAATAAGGGCTAATTCACGAGACGAATCTATTAAGTCTAATTAGCCATGATTAGCCCAAGTGATGCTACAGTAAATATGTGCTAATTATGGATTAATTAGGTTTAATAGATTCGTCTTGCGAATTAGCCCTCGTTTATGCAATTAGTTTTATCATTAACTTATATTTAATACTTCTAATTAGGGACAAAACATCCGATGTGACGGGACTAAACTTTAGTCTAGCATCCAAACACCCCTAAATTATATGACCTTATCACCCCCAACTATTGTACATGCCGTGTGATTTCAGATGATGTGCCGTCTCACATTTCCACCCAAACAAATCACACTAATTGCACCCACTTTTTTTCACTACGGGATACAGGAGATTTACCGAGTGCTAGGGGCACTCGGCAAAAGACCAAAAACACTAGCAAAAGTGTTTGCCGAGTGTTATACTCGGCAAACACCACACAACATAAATTTTAACGGCAAACAACTCTTTGCCGAGTGCTTTTTGTCGGGCACTCGATAAAAAGTTTGTCATGTGCTAAATGGCACTCGGGCAAAGAATTTTTGGGAAAAAAACGCCCGCCGCCACCACCAGCACCACGCCGCCACCGGGAGAGAGAGGGGGAGGGGCGGCGGCTAGATCCGGGGAGGAGGGGAGGGGAGGGGCGTGGTGGCGCCGGAGAAAGGGAGGGGCCGGGGCAAATCAGGACAGAGGGAGGGAGGCGGGCGGATCGGGAGAGGGAGGGGCCGGGTGGATATGGGGAGGAGGGAGGGGAGCTAAGGGCCGCACGTAGATATAGGAAATTAACTTTGCCGAGTGTCCAATATGGGACACTTGTCCAACCCAGGACACTCGGCAAAGCAACCCTTAGGCAAGTGCAAATGCTCGGTAAACTTATTTTGCCGAGTGTAATTATTTTTATCGAGTGCTTTTTATAGCACTCGGCAACAAGGTTCTTTGCCGAGTGCCCAAGGTAAAGCACTCGACAAACATAAAAACACTCGGCAAAGTGTCGGTTTCCGGTAGTGTTTTTTCAATATACAAGATGCCCAAGGATGATTTGCCTTTTTCTCAATCCTTATTAGAAGCGATCGTCGTCGTCCACCGCACCCAGCACACGCGTGGGGGCTATGGATGGTAACGGGCATATTACCCATGGGTAGAGGGTTTACGGACCCGCGCCCGCCACCCATCACGGGCAAGAAGTTGTGCCTGCACCCGTGGCGAGGTGGGGCGAGGGGGGGCCGGCGGAGGTGGCGGTAGGGAGCAAGGGCGGGCGGCGGGGAGCGGAGAGGACGAGAGGTGGCGTGAGGGTGCGGCTAGGAGGAGGATTGGAGGAATGAAGGAGAACCCTAGAAATCACTTATATAGTTGTATAGGGTCCACATGTCAAGCACTATGTAGCGTGTTCGCGGGTTTGTGGGCACGGGTAAGATATTTTTATGCCTGTTAATTTTTTGCCCGCGGGCACAAACTCAAACCCGCACCCGTGCCCCTAGGGCACAAGATAGAACCCGTGTCCTAGCCCAACAGGGTTTTTGCCCGTGGGTAATTTGTGTCGATGGCCATGCATAGCGGGGGTGGTGCATCCATTTCTTATAATCCTGCAGTTTAAGAGTCAAAGCCTTAGGGCCTCTTTGGCACGGCTTATGCTGGCTTCGGCTTCATCTATTTTGCGTAAATCGAGGCACTGTAGTGTGAAGTCGTTTTGTAAGTTAGGATTAAAATGAACTAGAAGTCGAAAAAATCAGTTTTTCTGGCTTCACCGGCTTTGGCTTCACCGGTAAAGCCGTTTTTGTTGAGCCGTGCAAAAGGCTTTAATTAAGCAGACCACGCGCGGCGTCCATCAGCCGGAAATAAAAATTCTTCTTCTCCCGGCCCTGCTGGCTGATGCTGCTTTCAGCAGCGGACGGCACGCGCATGTGGACAGTTGTTCTTCAGAAGCGCATGCGCAACGCAACTGGTGGCGGCCGCGTCCGATCGACATCGCCGGCGACCGTCCGTACATACGGTGACAGATTTATTACGTCCGTATATACGTCCGTACATACCCTATACTTGCGAGTTCGTAGACGCACATGTTTTTTTCCCCCTCAGCTACTAGGAATAGTAGTCGTCTCGGATCATGTTCATGTCGGCCTGGTCAGCCGCCGTCGTCGATCGCCTTCGGCTCTGCTTCCATGTGGGAGCCTGGAGGTAGTTGTTGGCCCGTCGCGTTCACTGTACTTGGACAGAGCAGTGGCGCCACTTGACCATAGAAAATTCCCTAGTTGCGCCATCCTTGCATGGTGGCGCAGCGTCGAGGGAGCTGTATGTGTCTGCCGCGGCGGCGGGGCCCTGAGACAAGTCGCCATCCGAGTCTCCATCAGGTCACCATATATCTCGCTCGAGGCCAGAGAGAGGGGAAGGAGATGAGGAGGCCTGGACCCAGCTGTTCGTGCCGCCATGGCTCTGCTGCGCTCCCGACGTTGCTGCTGCTGCTGCTTCTTCTAGCTGCATCTGCGCAAGCTCAGCAAGCGAGGACAAGGACCGATCCGGTTGAAGGTGAGCGTGCATGTCTCCAGTTCTTTCTTTCAGATTAGCGAGGGGGTTTCAAATCAGCTTGCATCAGATCCATCGATCGTCTCCCTGCCTTCATCTGCTTTCGGAATGATAAACTACCACTTCATTATTCATCTCTTTTTTTGCTCCTCTGTGATGGCTTCTCCTGTTCTGGAACCACCATGCAATTAACCGGCTTTCCGATCGAGCTGTCCGATTGACCCATCTGTCACCTCCTTCATCTGCTCATCTCTTTTGCTCTGTGTGCCTTCTCATGCTCTGACTTTGAAGAAAGCTTCTGAATTTTTTCTTTCACGGAATGTCGATTTTCTTTGACTAGTTTGCAAACATGATCTGTTCTTCTAGCTACTCCTGCCTGATTTCCAGAGATCACCTACCCCCTCTGACCTCTGTTCCAAATTTCCAATAAACAAGCTCGCTCCAAACGTCTCGGTTGGAAGGTCAACCGCGCCAAGCATATCGATATCGTGTTTCGCCTTTCTGACTTTCGGCTTTTGCTTGCCCACCATAAAATTCAGACTTGGCTTGGTCGGCTCCGCCATGTCAGCGTGGGTCCTGATCCCTGGCCGTCCGATCGCCGCGGGACCGGGCCATCGGACGGTCGATGAGCGGGCAGTCGTTGTTTGCCGTTGGTTTGGGATATGTGTGTGAACCCGTTTTCGGTTTTGCAGCGGCGGCGGTGAATGCGGTGTTCGCCAAGCTCGGCCAGACTGCGTCGTCGGCATGGAACATCAGTGGCGATCCCTGCACCGGCGCCGCCACGGACGGCACCAACATCGACACAGACCCGAACTTCAACCCGGCCATCAAGTGCGAGTGCTCCGGCCAGAACAACACCGTCTGCCACGTCACAAAGCTGTAAGTCGCCAACTCAGAGCTCACGTCTTGCCGCTCCGCACGGCAGGTGTTCGACAGATGTCCTGCCGGAGGTTTCGCTGTTTGTACCGAGCCTTTGGGTATGCGATGCGTCCGCCTCGCTGTGCTAGTACGCTGTTACCTCTGTATCTGAAAAGTGCTAGCTAGAGGATTCAGCGGTGCTCCATACGCCTCCTGCTGGTGTTTATATCTGACGAACAGCGATGATGATGGTTAAATTGAGATAGTGTGAGCTGACGGTCCATTTACTTGACTTTGCTCGCTTGCAGGAAAATATATGCGCTGAATGCGGTTGGTGCGATACCAGCAGAACTACAGAACCTCACGCGTTTGACTAATCTGTATGAACTCTCAACTTTCTTGCATTACCTGAAGGGTCCACTAGGACTTTTACTTGTGGATTGTGGTTTTTGGGGAACTTTGTAAATAGCTGATGCCTATTGCCTATTTCTTTATGAAGATATTCTAGAGGTTCAGCATAATTGTAATATTCTGGAAAACACCATATTCCAACATTACACCCAAATTCAAACATGATGAGCCAACTTTAATCTTTGTTAATATCTTTTCTGATGTTGTTTCAGGAACTTAGGACAAAATTACTTAACAGGGCCTTTACCATCGTTCCTTGGGAAATTGACTGCTATGCAGTACATGTGAGATTTAAATCTTAAACCGTTATTGCATTACATATTTTTGCTTAACATCAAAACATCATCTCATTCTGTTCAATACACAGGAGTCTGGGCATCAATTCATTATCCGGATCTGTTCCAAAGGAGCTCGGGAACCTTACCAATCTCGTATCGCTGTAAGAAATAAATTTTTGTAATGTGGAACCTTACTAATCTTGTATCACTGTATTTCACTAGGAAAGGTTAGAGATCTCTACTTAACATCTTCATTCCTTCAACTGATTAACCACTGTCTAGAAATGTAGCTTTCTGCCAGTAATTATGCTTCTAGGAATAGATATTTCTCATTTTTTGTGATTAACCTATATTTTTTTTGGTGGGTTTCAGGTCCTTTAGCTCAAACAACTTAAATGGTTCCCTTCCGTTGGAACTAGGGAATTTGGTTAAACTTGAGCAACTGTGCGTGTTAACTTGTTTTGGGCACTATATATATTTCTTTCGTACAATTGTTTGCTTGAATTAGTTGGCTCCTTATTTCTGTGCTTATATTTGCATCTCTTAATTGCAGGTATATTGATAGCGCTGGCTTAAGTGGTCCCTTACCATCATCGCTTTCCAGTCTGACAAGAATGAAAACACTGTATGCATATAAGAGATGTTTTGTTGACTGTACTGTTCCATGCCACTCAATCTTATTTGTTATTGTTCTTTGTGTTCAGGTGGGCATCAGATAACGATTTTACTGGGCAAATACCAGATTATATTGGGAACTGGGCTAATTTAACAGAACTGTAAGTTTTTTCTTAATTAATTTTCATTATTTGCAATCATTTCCTAATTGAAAATAGCAACATATGTTGTTTCATTTTCATAATTGTTTGGTCCTTTTTTTTCGCCCCAAATAGTATAGGTACAACAAGCTATAGCTCTCCACAAGTCAATCTTTATTTTTATCAGAACTTAAGTTGATACTGAAGTAGGACATTCATTTTATACCTACTTCACTCGTTGCCATATGTAAATGAGTTCATTCTGTTTAGTGTCTAGGTCTTTCACTCCAGCGCCTATTACAGGTTGCTGAGAGCCTGAGAAAGAAGCTCACCTATGGTGTCTTGTCAGTGCTAAGGACTTAGTGGCTTTAGTAGCAACTAGAGCATAGAGTCAAGTAGTCTGGTAGTATCCACATATTCAAGGGCGTGAATGTGATGATCGAAAATCTGCTATAAATTTTCAACACTTTCGTCTTCTTAATGCAATGACACATAGTTCTCCTGTGTGTTCAAGTAAAAAAGGAAAGAAAAGTGTATGTGTCTTTTACTCTACTGATTTCCATTTAGTGGCCTTTTAACTAATTTATTTAGGTCAGGTGTGAGCTGTTATTATCATATTAGTAAATATTAAATCTTTTTGTTTCACTATTCATTATTATACGATGCTAAGTTTTGGGTACTAGTATTAGTAATCTTTGAACCTTTTTTCTAATACTTTTCATTATAAATTTCTTGTTTTACCTAAGAAGTCCCATCTTTCTTGTTTCTTTACTAGGTAGTAGGTAAACACATTGGTAAATAAATGGTGCTTGAAAAATAGTAACAATAATTTCAATTTGTAGGCGGTTTCAAGGCAATTCGTTTCAAGGTCCCCTTCCGACCACTCTTTCTAATCTCGTTGAACTGACAAGCTTGTAAGTGACTACTTATGGAAAGAGTAGATACTATCATCCTTAAATTTCAAGTTTGCGGATGGGAAGAATGAACTATCTATTTCTGTGGTGCAGACGAATAGGTGACATAGTAAATGGAAGTTCTTCACTGACATTCATCAGTAACATGACATCTTTGAACACCTTGTATGCATAACTTACCATTCATTTGATGACTCAAACTATATCTTAATATTTTCTGTAGTGTAACCAATTGTTAAATCCGAAAACTCTTGACATGTTTCATTGCAGAGTTTTGAGGAACTGCAGGATATCTGATAACCTGGTATCAGTAAACTTTTCACAGTTTGCAACATTAACCCTACTGTAAGACATTTTGTTTCTTCCTAAACTCCAGTCAACTGCATGTTTTGCTAGATGCTTTAATGAACTGTTGTGGATTATGCATTGTTTGATGACCCCTTTCTCTCCTAGTCTCATTTGTTCTACTGTTACAGGGATTTGAGTTTTAACAATATCACTGGCCAAGTACCACAAGCTCTGCTGAATCTGAATTCACTCAGCTTCTTGTATGGTTTATCTTGCCTTCTGATACTTATTTCTAGGTTCTGATGACAATGATCATCAATCTTGCTAATGCGCAAATTTGGTCTGCCCAGGTTTCTCGGGAATAATAGTCTTTCAGGAAGCCTTCCAAGTTCTATTGGAACATCTCTTAAAAACTTGTATGTTTGTCCACTTTCATTTGTGAAGTAAAACCAGGAAGGCGTTTATCTATAACATTTACACGCTTTCTTTTGTGTAGAGACTTTTCCTACAACCAGCTATCAGGAAACTTTCCCTCCTGGGTTAGTCCGAATTTGAAATTGTAAGTGCTGAGTTTTGCAAGCTTGATTGACTGACCGAAAATTCAGCCCTATTGCTATTTTTTTTAAAGATAATCCAATATCATACACATGTATTAAACTAGCATTTTTTAATATCGACTACATCTAAAAAGCTGCTTTTGCTGCACCTAAATCATATTTCTTTTTTTTTCTTTTCTGCTTTTGCTGCACCTAAATCATTTTTTTTTTTTTTTTTGCATTTGACGTCATGTATGATTCAAAATCTTTGAACAAGCAGATGTGTACTTTACCTTACTGCTTATCTTAAAAAACTGAATCAATTTTGTCCCGGCTTTGGTTTCTCTTGATTCTCTGCAATAGTGCCTTCTAACTTTTTTTTGCATGTTTCATTCTACATAGGAATTTGGTGGCGAACAATTTCGTAATCAACAACTTCAATAACAGGTCAGTTTGTATTCAAATAGGCCATTAAAGTCTTCAAGCACAATTTTTATGTTCTCTCAGGCCTCAGCTCATATTTTGGATTCAAATTGACAATGTTTGACATCTTCAGTGCCTTACCTTCGGGGCTAGGGTGCCTTCAGCGAGACACACCCTGCTTTCTTGGCTCTCCACAATGTGAGCTTCCACTTTTGCACTTTAAGGATACGCTAAATAACATCAGTATTAAATAATTTAACATGCTTGCAGCTTCCTCCTTTGCTGTGGCCTGTGGGAGCCATAGATCTATATCAGGCTCAGATAATTCCATGTATCAGCCTGACAACGCCGATCTGGGACCTGCTTCCTATTATGTTACAGGAGCACCAACATGGGGTGTTAGCAATGTTGGGAGGTTCATGGATGCACAAAATGGAAGTTACATAATCTACAGCTCACGCCAGTTTCAGAATACTCTAGATTCAGAACTGTTCCAGACAGCAAGGATGTCTCCGTCATCATTACGCTACTATGGCATTGGACTTGAGAATGGAAACTATACAGTCACACTTCAATTTGCAGAGTTTGACTTCGAAGACATGCAGACTTGGAAGAGTTTAGGTAAAAGGGTTTTCGATATCTATGTTCAGGTAGGTTCCAGTCATGCTGATAACTTACACTTACTTGAGTTTTTAGCTTATGGGCTGATTGAGCTTTTCTAATTGTTTTTTCTTGCTTTTGGTACAGGGTGAGCGTAAGGAGCAGAACTTTGACATAAGAAAGGCAGCAGGCGGGAAATCTTACACTGCTGTCAAGAAGCAGTATACTGTTCCTGTCACCAGAAACTTCCTTGAGATTCATCTTTTCTGGGCTGGCAAGGGCACTTGTTGCATCCCTAGTCAAGGCTACTATGGGCCTGCAATTTCAGCTTTGAGTGCAACTCCAAGTACTCCCCTTAGCTACAAATCATTGTTTTAATACTTTTTAAACAATTTTCTTGGGGTAAAAAGATACATATATGTTAGATAATCTACTGCTACCTTGTGTGAACACAGCAAGGGAAGGCAGCGCCGAAAAGGCCCCCTGCTGTGATCATGTAGCAGTTGCAGGTGCAGGCGCCGCACGGCTCACCTGCAGCACTGTAGACACATGCAGAGGCCGGCGCAGAGTCAGCCCTGTATGTTATCTAGTTACTGTTACAGCATGTGCGTTGTACTAGAATTAGATGGATAGAGTTGTATAAATAGACTACCACGGCAACTCAGTAAAGAGAGTTCAGATTTGTCATCTTCCATATAGGGCTTCGACCAATGCTGGTGTCTTGTACTGTGTGTGCATGCTCTGTTCTCCTTTCTTCTTCTAGCTCTAGCCATAGTGTGTGGGACGGACAACGCTTGTTCGTGGTCGGCACGGCTAGTGGGTGCTCGGCAACACTAGCGAGTGCTCGGCAAGATTGGTGAGTGGTTCACTCACCTGAGCCGGTGATCTTATGGGCCAACAAGTGGTATCAGAGCCGTACAAGCGTCGTCGCCAGACTAACCGCTGGCGATGACGGGTGGTTCGGAGATGGGCGACAGCAGTGGCACTACTGTGGCTGTCCAGCCATGACCGGAGGTCGTTATTCGTGCGGTGCGAGAGGTTAGTGGCACCAGTTGGCCGACGCTGACTCGCACCAACTATGGAGAGTGGTCGGTGACCATGAAGGTCAAGCTCAGAGCCCGACGGCTCTGGAATGCTGTTGACAAGGGCACCGACAATGAGGAAGATAACATGTCAGCATTGGAGACTATCCTCGCTGCTGTACCGGCGGAGTACAGGGAGCCGTTGGGGGTGAAGAGCTCGGCTAAGGAGGCGTGGGAGGCTATTGCGGCGATGCGCGTCTGTTCCGACCGCGCAAAGAAGGCGACGGTCCAGCTTCTAAAGCAGGAGTACGCCAACCTCAAGTTCAATGATGGTGAAACGGTGGAGGACTTCTCCTCCGCTGCAGACGCTCATCGCCAAAGTGAAGAGCCACGCAGCGTCTGTCGACGAAGAGGAGGCGGTCTCTGGTACCTCCACTCCGTCTTAAGGCAAAGTACATCGGATCGCTCTCTCAATAGAGACGATGCTGGACTTGTCCACCCTCACCATTGAGGATGTGACAGGCCGTCTGCGGGCTGTGGACGAGCGTCTGGAGATGGCGACAGCAACGAAGGATAGCGGCAAACTGCTGCTGACGGAAGAGGAGTGGGCTGCTCGGAGGAACTCCGGGAAGGCAGCCTCCTCCAGCCGCGGTGGCGATGGCAAGCGCCGCGGCAAGGCTTCTTCGGAGAAGAAGAAGCAAGTCGACCCCAACGCCTGTCGGCGCTGAGGGAAGATGGGCCATTGGGCACGGGAGTGCCCAAACCGCAAGCAGGAGAAGAATGCGGAAGCTCATCTGGCGCAAGCTGATGCTGAGGCCACTATCCTGATGGCGACGTTTTGTGCACTGCACGACGTCGAGGCCGAGGAGAAGGAAGAGGCGACGACGGTGGAAGGCTTGGGAAGGCCCTGAAGACTGTCAACCTCGACAAACCACGCGCCCAATTCCATCTCGGACGTGTGGGCGCCGACCGGGAGCAGCGGTGGTATCTGGACTCCGGTGCCAGCAACCACATGACGGGCTCCAAGGCATCCTTCTTCGAGCTCGACGACGATGTTACCGGTACGGTGAAGTTTGGTGACGGCTCAAGTGTGGCTATCCAAGGGCGCGACACCATCATCTTCAGGTGCCAGAACGGGGAGCACCGCGCGCTAACGGATGTATATTACATCCCGCAGCTGCGTTCCAACATCATCAGTATTGGTCAGCTGGATGAGTGCGGTAGCGAGTTACTGATCAAGGACGGAGTCCTTAGGATCAGGGACCGGGAGCAGCGACTTCTCGCCAAGGTGAAGAGGTCCTCGAACCGGTTGTACCTTTCGACCAAGGTAGAACACCAAAGTGTGCTGGCGGCAAGGCACTCCGAGGAACATTGGATGTGGCATGCCTGGTTCGGACATCTCAGCTTCGACGCGCTTGGTCGGCTGGAGAAGATGGTCCGAGGGCTACCCCACATCAAACATGGAGGCGAGATGCGTGACAGCTACCTGGTCGGGAAGCAAAGGAGGCTACCTTTCCCAAAGGCAGCCAAGTATCGCGCGAAGGACGCTCTCGAGCTCGTCCATGGCGACCTCTGCGGGCCGATCACGCCAGCTACAAACGGTGGTCGGCGGTACTTCCTCCTGCTCGTGGATGATTGCAGTCGCTACATGTGACTGCAACTCCTAACGAGCAAGCACGAAGCGGCGGCGGCGATCAAGAAGTTCAAGACATGCGCGGAGGCCGAGAGCGGCAAGAAGCTCCGTGTGTGAGGACTGATCGCGGCGCGACGAATTCACTTCGGTGGAGTTCGCTGCTTACTGCGCGGATCAGGGTGTGGTGCGACACCACACTGCGCCGTACTCGCCACAACAGAATGGCGTGGTGGAGCGACGGAACCAGACGGTGGTCGGCATGGCCCGATCCATGATGAAGGCCAAAGGCATGTCGGCAAGGTTCTGGGGGAGGCGGTGACCACGGCGGTGTTCATCCTCAACCGCGCTCCGACCAAGGCCCTGACGGGCAAAACGCCGTTCGAAGCTTGGTATGGGCGCAAGCCGAGTGTGTCCTTCCTCCGGACATTCGACTGCATCGGCCACGTCAGGAAGACGAAGCTGAACCTCACCAAGCTAGAGGACAGGAGCACACCGATGGTGTTCCTGGGCTACGCGGAGGGTACCAAGGCATACCGGTTCTACGACCCACGAAGAGACAATGTGCTTGTCTCGCGCGACGTCGTGTTCGACGAGGCGACGGCTTGGGACTGGAGCAGTCCGAGCACGGGGGAAGCTGGCGGCTTCACCAGCACCTTCGTCCTCGAACACTTGGTCATCCACAGTGGTGGAGACGCTGGAGAAGAGGTGCCGAGCACTCCAGCGGTAGAGCCGAGCACTCCTGGGGCAGTGCCGAGCACTTTGGGAGGAGTGTCGAGCACTCCTGGAGGGATGTCGAGCACGCTAGGAGTGGTGCCGGGAGGTTCTGCAGTGGTGGCGACCACTCCAGGACGGGTGCCGACCACTCCAGTGGCGGAGCCAAGACGTCTTGCAGTGGTGCCGACCACTCCAAGACTGAGGCTGGGCACTCCTACAGTGGGGCCAAACACTGCAGGAGTTATGACGAGCTGTCCAGAAGTAGTGCCGAGCACTGCAACCAGGGTGCCGAGCACTCCGGCGGAACAGGGAACTCCATCAACGCTGATCGAGTTCGCCTCACCTCCAAGTGACATCACTGAATTCGTGGATGCCTTCCACGAAGGTGAGGAGGTGCGGTTCCGCAGGCTAGACGACATCGTCAGCGGCACAGGACCCTCAGGACTGGCTGGTCTGCTGCTCAATGACGCAGAGCTGCTTCTCGTCAGTGCAGAGGAACCACCCACGTTCGCGCTGGCCGAGCGGGACGGAAACTGGCGACGAACGATGCTGGAGGAGATGAAGGCGATCGAGGAAAACAAGACATGGCAGCTCGTCGATCCACCTCCAGGATGTCGTCCCATCAGCCTGAAGTGGGTGTACAAAGTCAAGCGGGACGAGCTCGACGCTATTGTCAAGCACAAGGCGCGCCTCGTCGCCTGAGGCTTTGTTCAGCGCGAGGGCATAGACTTCGACGAGGTCTTTGCGCCAGTAGCACACATGGAGTCCGTCCGTTTGCTACTTGCTTTGGCAGCAGCAAAGGACTGGCGCGTCCATTACTTGGACGTCAAATCGGTCTTCCTCATTGGCGAGCTGGCGGAGATGGTCTTCGTCAGGCAACCTCCAGGTTTCGCCATCAAGGGGGAGGAGCACAGGGTGCTCCGACTGTGCAAGGCGCTCTACGGGCTGTGGCAGGCCCCACGAGCATGGAACGTCAAGCTTGACGCCACGCTGGGCGAGCTTGGGTTTCAGCGGTGCGCAACCGAGCACGAGCTTTACACACGGCGACGGGGGAAGGAGGAGCTCGTCGTCGGCGTGTATGTGGATGACTTAATCATCACTAGCGAGCGCACGGAGGATATCAACAGCTTCAAGCGCGAGATGGCGGCTCGTTTTCGAATGAGTGATCTCGGCGCACTCTCCTACTACCTCGGCATCGAGGTGAGACAGGAAAAGGAGGAACTCACGCTCGGTCCGAGCGCGTATGCCTCCAAGCTGTTGGAGAGAAGCGGCACGGCTGAGTGCAAGCCATGCGTGACTCCGATGGAGGAGCGGCTGAAGCTGACGAAGGCCAGCACCGCGGCGAAGGTGGATGCAACACTCTACTGAAGCATCGTCGGCGGTCTGCGCTACCTAGTTCACACGAGGCCGGACATTGCGTTCGCCATGTGCTACGTCAGCCGCTTCACGGGGATCCCAGAGAGGATCACTGGGCTGCGGTGAAGCGACTACTGCGCTACGTCAAAGGGACGGTAGATCATAGGATCATCTTCCCAAAGACCGGCGGGAGTAGGCTGCAGCTCACTGTGTTCAGCAATGCAGATATGGCGGGGGACATCGACGGGCGACGGAGCACCTCTGGCGTGCTCGTCTTCCTCGGGTCGGCCCCAATTGCGTGGCTGTCGCTGAAAACAGAAGGTGGTGGCGCTATCTACGTGCGAGGCAGAGTACGTAGCGGCAGCCACAGCGGCGTGCCAAGTTGTGTGGCTGCGCCGGCTGCTGGGCGAGCTGACCGGCGTGGAAGCTCACCCACCAGCACTGATGGTGGACAACCAGCCCGCCATCGCCCTCGCGAAGAATCCGGTTCTACATGACCAGAGCAAACACATCGACGTGAAGTTCCACTTCCTCAGGGACTGTGTCGATGGAGGTCTGATCGTCATCGAGTTCGTCGAAACTGATCGGCAACTCACGGACGTCATCACTAAGTCGCTCGGA